TAACAAAATATGTCTTTTAATTTCTTTGATCAAAATAATGTTAAGAGGGCGTTTGTTATATTAAATGCATTATATTAAAAAATGTATCTAGTATGGTCTTTCTTTTAATTATTATTATAATTTAATATTATTGCTGTTGTTATCATTGTTATTGTTAGTATTACTTCAATTATCATCAATTATTGTTTTCTCCCTTTTGTTGTCATTTAATTTATATTCAATATTATTGTCATTTTATTTTTACATTTCTTTTACACCATATATTTCTTTTTCTCTTTCTTTCAATTGCTTGCAAATATTGTTGAACGTTTTGTAACAAAGAGAATTTCCCCGTTTATGTATACATATATATATTATATTATAATAATTAAATTATATTATTATATATATATAAATAAAAAATAATATATTATTATTATTATTTACAACATAAGTACAAAAAATACAATCCGAATGATACTCGTGTAACACGAATATAACCTAAAGCCGCAAAGATAATCTGAAACGTAGAATTTTCTGCTATAGATTTCAGTTGGCACACACACAGATAGAAAAAATAGTATCAAATCGAATTTCTCGTTGCTCTATCCGATTCCGGCCGATACGTAACGTAATCGACGCGATACGACCGTCGTCAGAGAAGAGGCATTGAAATCGCCAAACAACGCTAATAAACGAATACTTGCGCGGCATTACGTTCACAGCTGTGAAGTGAATCGGGAAGGTTCGAGACAAAGAGAGAAGCGAAGAGGAGGGGGGAGCAGCAATCTCCACGGGTACAGAGCGAGGCAGAGACCGACCGACACACGTTATGATGACATCGTAAGAAAAATGGCCCGATAACTGGTCGAGAGATCAACCGTTCCGATAACGCGAGAAAGAGAGATGCCGGTCGGCATCGGTTATCGGGACCGCGCATTAAACATTCAAGGTCCTTTTTTTTCCGGACGAACAGACAGAGAAGTCTCTCGAGAATTCCCAGACAACCGCGTGAACTTTCGACGAGCCGAAGGAGCTGGTTTCTCTCGTTGCGTGCACCTCGTACGATTACGACCAATTGCATTTGACGCAAACAGAGATACATACGATTCGTCGTACCCGTGAAAACAATTCATCGAAGAGGATCACCGTATTTGTCTATTCAACACAGTCGGCAAATTCGAGATCGATTCTTACATTATTATCTTATATTATATTATATATATTATTTATTATTATTTTATTATATTATATTATTATATTACATATATATAATATAATATAAGATAATAATATAAGAATCGATCGCGAATTTGCCGACTGTGTTGAATAGACGATATATAATATTATTATATCGATATATAGATATATAATATATATATCAAAACGCCAAAACT